CCCCAACCCCATTTGGGTGCCCCCAACCCCATTTGGGTGCCCCCAATCCCCGGGTCAGGAGGCCGCCCTGAGCCGCACGGAGCTCCCGGACGCGGTGGAGGAGGTGGCTGCGGCCATCCGACGGCAGAAGGACGCGGCCACCAGCGCCGAGCTGAGCCGCAGGAGGGCGCAGGTGGCACTGAGGGCCGGCGAAGGTCTGAAGCGAGACGGCAACGTGTACGGAGCGCGCGTGGACAGAGCCATGGACAGCCTGCGGAGCAAGTAGGGACCGAGGGGGGGGGCAGCCGGACCCCCTCCTCTGGGGACACCCGAGAACTCCCTATGGGATGGGGGGACCCAATTTGGGGAGAGGGACCCCCACTCTGGGGATAGGGGGACTCCTTTGGGGTTGGGGACACCGTTGGTGGGGCAGGGACCCTCAGTTTGGGGACATAGGGACCTCCCTATGGGATGGGGGCACCCAATTTGGGGATAGGGACCCCTACTCTGGGGAAATCAGGACCCCTATGGGATAGGGACCCCCTCTTTGGGGCAGGGGACCCCTACTTTGGGGACACCAGGACCTCCCTATGGGATGGGGGCACCCATTTTGGGGATAGGGACCCCCACTCTGTGGAAGTCAGTGACTCCTATGGGGATAGGGACCCCCTCTTTGGGGCATGGGACCCCTCCTTTGGGGATAGGGACCCCAAATTTGGGGATGGGGGGACTCCTTTCGGGATAGGGATCCCTCCTTTAGGGACATGGGGACCTCCTTTTGGGATGGGGGCACCCAATTTGGGGAGAGGGACCCCCACTCTATGGATAGGGGGACTCCTTTGGGGTTGGGGGCATCCTTGGTGGGGCAGGGACCCCCAATTTGGGGACATAGGGACCTCCTTTAGGGATAGGGAGCCCCTCTTTGGGGCAGGGGACCCCTCCTTTGGGGACACCAGGACCTCCCTATGGGATGGGGGCACCCAATTTGGGGATAGGGACCCCCACTCTGGGGAAATCAGGATCCCTATGGGGATAGGGACCCCCTCTTTGGGGCAGGGGACCCCTACTCTGGGGACACCAGGACCTGCCTATGGGATGGGGGCACCCAATTTGGGGATAGGGACCCCCTCTTTGGGGCATGGGACCCCTACTTTGGGGATAGGGACCCCCAATTGGGGGATAGGGTCCTCCTTTAGGGATATGGGGACCTCACTTTGGGATGGGGGCACCCATTTTGGGGATAGGGACCCCCACTCTGGGGAAATCAGGACCCCTATGGGGATAGGGACCCCCTCTTTGGGGCAGGGGACCCCTACTTTGGGGATAGGGACCCCAAATTTGGGGATAGGGACCCCCACTCTAGGGACGTGGGGACCTCCCTTTGGGATGGGGGCACCCTTGGTGGGGCAGGGACCCCCAATTTGGGGACATAGGGACCTCCTTTAGGGATAGGGACCCCCCTTTGGGATGGGGGCACCCATTTTGGGGATAGGGACCCCCAATTTGGGGATAGGGGGACTCCTTTGGGGTTGGGGGCACCGTTGGTGGGGCAGGGACCCTCAGTTTGGGGAC